TTGGGGGGAGAGAAGTGGGGGGGAGAGAAGTGGGGGCCAACATCTCCTCCCCTGCAGAATACGGCAGGGCGACTGTTGGCGGATGCACCAGAGCCGAGGGAGAGAGGGCCCTTTTCGGTTCCACAGAAAAACAGCTGAGACTGCCCTAGTCTTGTGGTGCTTTACCGCCCTCGTGTGTCAGCCCTTCTCAATACCCGCCTCCGTGTCCTGTGTGTTCCGTAAGGCCCGCGAGGAGCGCAAGGTGGTGCTGCCCCGAAACCTGAGACCAGCGCCGTACGACGCCATGCGGGTGATGTACCTGGACCACTTAGATGTGAGGGGTGGGGATGTGGGGTAGGGGGGATGTGGGGTAGGGGGGATGTGGGGTAGGGGGGATGTGGGGTAGGTGGAGGGAGGGAGCAGAGGAGGTTCATTAGACGGATAAGCGCCGCAGCCTCATAACCACCACTATAACCGCCTTTCCAGCAGCCAGCATTACAACCGCAATCGCCGCAGCATTACATAACCGGCATTACATACACCGCGATGTCATCGAGCCCCCCTCTCCTCCCCTCCCCCCCCCCACCCCGCTCGACCCCCCAGATGTTGCAGCAGGAGGAGATGTTGGCACTCGAGAAGCTGGGCAGCTTAGGGAGCTGGGCATCCAGATCACTAACACGCGGGTCGGCCACCCCCACCGCCTCCGGCTCCCTGACGTCAGCATTTCCCAGCGCCGCCACCAGCATGCTGACGCCAGCGTCAACGATGATGACGGCAGCGGTCACGGGCATGGCGACGGCGAGTAGTACGACAAGCGCCACGACGGCGACGGCGGCCATGAGATCAGCTTTGCGAGGTCCCGGCAGTCCGTCTAGACCGCTTGGTACCGCCGGCAGTAGCGCCACGACGAGCTCCCGTTCGATGATGCCCGGCGGCGCCGCTGGGTACGACAACCGCCAGGGTTATGCCGCGGCAGCGTGGCAGCGTAGCGTTGGCGGCGGCGGGAGAGCATTGTCGCCATCGTCCAACTTTCAGCCGCAGCAGCAGCAGCAGCCGCCGCAGCAGCAGCAGTGGCCGCCGCCGGCCAACCCGGGAGGTAGCCCCAACTTCGCAGCGTTTGGGCAAGGACCGTGGCTTAGCCCGGGGTCTGGACCTGGGCATGGTGTTAGTGCGGCGGCGGCGGCGGCGGAGCGCAGTGCTGTGTCGTCACGGTGCGTCAGCCCGCCGCCAGCGGCGGCGGCGGTGCCTAGCAACCCTGGCGGCGGCGGCGGCGGCTCGTCGCAGTCGTTCAACCGGCCGCAATCCGTTCAGCAA